CTCCCTTGAGCGCCATGAACATCATCTTCCTCAGTAATCTTATCCAAATCTTCAGGCAGGCATAAAAATCAATGGAAAACTTTTTGTGACAGGCAATATTTACAGAAGTGAGAACAGACTCCAATTACATCTGTTGTTCTAACTTGCCCAGCTTCATCCTTTCCCTGTTTCTAGTAATACACCACAGAGCCCAATCTGGGCCAATCATAACACATCTGTCTCCTGACAACAGAGTCTGGTTTAAGAATAAGTCAAGAACCCAAAATGAGAGAGTCTCTCCCCAAGAATTTTCAAACTGAAGCTGGGAAGATACAGCCTCTTTCTTCAGTGGCCAACTGCTGTTGGTGAGAAGCCATGAGTAGGTACTCCTGACCAGGGAAGAAATTGGATCTACCGTAAGAGAGAAGAAAACCAAAACAGAAAGAAACAAAGAGAGCTAAGGAACCTTGACAAAATTAAAGACCTTGGATCTAGCTACAGTTTCAGGAATTAAAACACAAGGTAGAAAAATAGCATTGTTGTAATAAACAAATATTATTACTATAAAAAAACTTACCTAAATAATCACTGGCTACACTGCAATTGGAGATATGGGAAGACTTATCCATTGTTTCTCTTTCACTATTGTCATGTTTTTCACTGCCTAAATATAAGGAACAGGTAAGAAAAAAACAGATGTACTTTAATCAACCAATGTCTAGAAGTAGGAAGATTAGTGCTAAACGTAATAGCATCCAGATACATATAAGTGATCCAAACTCAGACTACCACTTTACTTGGAGAGGCAGGCATAGTGTTAGGAGTTTGGGGCTCTGAAATCAGAGTTAATCAGACTTAAGTTCAAAGTTAGGCTCTACTAATTAAACTGGCTATATGACCAGGGGAAAGTTGCTTATCCTCTCTAAGTCTAAGACTTAATTTCCTCATCTATAATATGGAGATAAAAATAGTGTGGCAATTGCCCTAGCTGGTTTGGCTCAGTAGATAGAGCATCAGCCTGTGGACCAAAGCGTCCCGGGTTCGTTTCCGGTCAAGGGCATGCACCTGGTTGCAGAGTCCTCCCCCACTTAGGCCCTAATCGGGGCCCATGCAGGAGGCAACCAGTCGATGTGTTTCTCTCACATAGATGTTTTTCTCTGTCTTTCCTTCTCTCTTCCACTCTCTCTAAAAATCAACGGAGAGTGTCTTCAGGTGAGGATTAAAAAATTTTTTTTAAAATAGTGTGGGAATTAAATGAGGTTATTGTGTGGGATTAAATGTCAATCACATATGAAAATTGCTTGTTGTAATGCCCAGTACATAGGAAACAGTCAATAAATATTAACTATTATTTCTGTGTAGGCATATCCATGTTTTCACTAGCATTAAGACTCTTCAATCATTATGATAACCTTAAAACGATCTCAAGTATTTAAGAGAACTTTAAGTCATGATTGGTGCTGTTAAACTGCAGTGCTATAAAGTATGTTATTCTATGAGAAGTGGTACTTCCAAGGAATACCTGCTATACAGAGATGAATTTCACTTTCTCAATTTTAGATATATGACAATTAATGTTTTAAGTTTCTTTGATTCCTGATTACTAAAAGGCCCTCTAATCAACACTGTCTCATTTATTTTCAAATAGAAAACAAGAGTGATTAAAAACCTATACCCCTACATAAGCTAATAGGCTAAAAATATCCTCCAACATAAAGGAAGTTAAGCCAAAAATATTTAATCCAAAATCATTTTTTAAAATATATTTTTATTGATTTCAGAGAGGAAGGGAGAGAGAGAAATATCAATGATGAGAGAGAATCACTGATTGGCTGCCTCCTGCACGCTCCCTACTGGGAATCAAGCCTGCAACCGGGGCATGTGCCCTTGACTGGATCGAACCCAGGACCCCTTGGTCTGTAGGCTGATGCTCTATCCACTGAGCCAAACCAAGTAGGGCAATCCAAAATTATTTTAAAAGTTTGAATGTCTCATCCAGCAATAATAACTTCTGCCTCTCCAGAATATCAATATTGCCACCTGCTGCAGTTGCCAGAAAAATCAAAGAAAACTCCAGAGAAATCCAGAAATAATAGATCCTTTAAGTCTACTGAGCTTTCTAAACTAATAATAAATAATGAAAATTAGCATAATTAGGTCATGTTTAACTAATTTGAATTTTGAGAGAAAGGTAGATTGTTAGGATTGTATAGATCAATTCATTTGATCAAAAAAAGAAATTTTCACTGTATACAAAGATGTAATTTGAACATCTGGTGCATAGTCCATGTTGTCGAGTTTACTCTGAGTGTTAAGCAGAGAGGTATGTACTAGTATGATGAGATTTATGCAACAGAATAAACAATTGAACCCAATTATACCCTCTGCAAATTGCACTATTCATAGTCCAAAGTATTGAAATTTATTCTTTTCTCTCTGAAGGCTCAATCAAAGAAATGATTACAAAGCAATAAGAACCTTATAAAAGTAAATATATAGAAAATAAAGTTACTTTCACCTTGAGACCCCTCCACATCAATGGTGACTATTGGAAGTTCCTTTGCTGATAATGCCAGAGCGACTTGTAAGTCTCTCTGGTAGAGTTTGTCATCTAAAGCCATCCTAGAGTAGAGACACAAATAATAGTGAGTTTTTAAAATTATTGATCTCAAACAGAAAAATTTGATTTTCCTGAATTACTATTTAAGAGTGGCTAACCTTATAAAAATGTTTTTAAACAATAATCACGACCATAATCGACCTCTAAGGATGACTTCTAAAATGTCGCAATGTCATTTTATAACTATCAGAAGAGATTTGAAATAGGAGCAGCATGTGCTGTTCCACTTACTGTTTCCTTTTACTGTCTGTCCTTTCTACTAGTTCCACTCAGGTGCTCAATACAAAATAAAGACTCGGCTCAAACATAATTTCCACTTAAAAATCTTCCGTGACCTCACCCACACCTCCTTAGACAGCTCTTTTAGGTCTTATATTTAATGTAAACATATTTAATTTGTTCCTCCCAATCTAGATTTTAACAAATATTTCACCAAGTACTTACTGTGTATGAGGTACTACACTAGATAGGATACAAAAATACACTAACACCTTGATATAACGGACTGATTCGGGTGAGGGGGTGTCCATTAAAGCTGTAAGTCCATTATACAATAAAGTAGGTTTTCTGCATGAGTATGTTAAAAATTGACAATTAGTTTACCTGTTTTTACTTAGGTAGACATGTTTGTGCAATTAAAATTAAGAATGTATGAAAAGTTTAATTTCACAGAAAAGTATTTTGTATATTTACTGTTAAGTTTGTACTGGATAGGTCTAGTAAATGTGTGCACTCACCAGTCATGTGAGTAAACAAATGTACATGGCTGGGGTGCGGCTTAGCACATATGGGAACGTCAGCCTGCACACATTAAAACTGCTGCAGAAAGTCACACCCTGTGACAATAGAACCAATTACCTCGAGAAATACCATGTGATCACGTGCTAATCATTCCCCGAACACTGTTTACAAGTGGTGACTCTTAGATTTAAATATGTAGACTATAGTTGTAAATATGTAGTATTTATTTATGTCGGTGAAATTACTACAGTTCTGTCCAACATATGGCCTATTCACTAAAATTTATTAAAAATAACAGTGAATTAATAACAAAAATTAACCTGTTATTTTAATTATGAGCAAATCTTGGTTAAAAGCATTTTAAAACTAACAAAGTGTTCATTTGCATATATGACATACAGATCAGAAATTTTGTTGTTACATTGAGGCCTGAAAAATCAAGGGTTTGCTGTACCATCAAGGAGTCTGCAATTAATGAGGGTGGGGAAATAAGATATACTTATAAATTATCCCACATAAACAGATTATTATGTCTCCTATTCAAGATGGTGAAAAGTGCTATGGGGTGTAAAAGGAAGAGAAATCAAAAACAGGTAAGGAAAACTGCATGAAGGAGGAAAATCTGGAGTGTATCTTGAAGGATTTATTATTTTTTTAAATAGCAACTTTATTAAGATGTAAATCACATAGCATACAATTCATCCTTTTAAAGTGTACAATTCAGCAGTTTTTAGAGTATTTACAGTTGTGAAACCATCACAACTTTTTTATCACCCCAAAAGAGAAACCCTGTATACATTAGCATTTATCCCCCATTTACCTTTACCCAGCATCTGGCAACCACTAATCTACTTTCTGTTCTTCTGGACTAGTCTATTCTGCACACTTTGTATTAACGGAATCATGAAATATGTGGCCTTTTGTACCTGGTTTCTTTTCATCAGCATAATGTTTTCAAGGTTCATCCATGCTACAATATACTGTATATCAGTACTTCATTTTGTTGTTGCTGAATATAGTATCCCACTGTATGAATATACCACATTATCTTTTCATCAGTTAATAAACATTTGGATTGCTTCTATTTTTTTTGGCTATTCTAAATAATGCTTCTACATTCAGGTATAGGTTTTTGTATAGTCATAGGTTTTCATTTCTCTTGTGTATATGCCTAGGCTGGGTCATGTAATAACTCTGTGTTTAACATTTTGGGAAACTGTTACTCTGTCTTCCAATGTAGGTGTATCATTTTATATTCCCAGCAGCAATGTATGAGCGTTCTAATTTCTCTGGATCCTCCTTAACATTCGTTATTGTCTGTCTTTTTTATTATGGCCATTCTAGTGGGTGTGAAGTATTATCTCACTGTCGTTTTGATTTGCATTTCCCTGATGACTATTGATGTTGAGTGAGCATCTTTTCATGTGCCTATTGGTCATTTCTGTATCTTTTTTGGAAAAATGTCTACTCAAATCTTTTGCCCACTTTTTAAACTGTATTATTAGTCTTTTTATTGTTGAGTTGTAAGAGTTCTTTAAATATTCTGGATACAAGTCCCTCATCAATTATATGATCTTGTCTCCCATTTGTGGGTTGCTTTTTTCACTATATTTAACATGTAGTCCAAGAAGCTCAAAAATAGAAACAAAATTAAGAGAGAGAAAAAGAGAAAAGGGTCGTTTGATGCCAAAGGGGTCGAGACCCACAGGTTGAGGACCGCTGAACTAATGGAATTCCAGAAATACTACAGAAACTGTAGGATTTTCTCACTGCTGAACAAGTCTTAACAATATAAAGAGAAAATAATCTTTAATCTGGTGAAAACTGTTTTTAAATTTTATAAAACTGTCCGTACAAATATAATTTTTAACAAAGTAGTCTTGTAAGACTTGAAGGCTTCAGAGACAGGTACAAGGTCCTATAAAAGTAAGCTATAACCACCAAACTTTGTAAGTATGATTACCTTAATAATTAAATGGATATTTGCTTACATACTTGTGAATTTCTTTTTAAAAAGTTTTTTTTAAATCCTCACCTGAGGATATGCTTTATTGATTTTGAGAGAGAGAGAGAGAGAGAGAGAGAGAGAGAGAGAGAGAGGCAGAGAGAGAGAGAGAGAAACATTGATGTGAATGGGAAACATGAATTGGTTACCTCCCTTATGTGCCCTGACCCGGGATCAAACCTACAAAGTAGGTATGTGCCCCGATGGGGAACTGGGACTTGAACCTGCAACCTTTTGGGGTATGGGATGACATTTCAACCAAATAAGTCACTGAGCCAGGGCTGTGAATTTCTTTTTTAAGTCAGAAAGCCAGAAGGGGATTAATAGTACAACCCTGTTCTCCTACGGGCACTAAATAAAATCATACCTATGACTCTGCTCAAGCTCTCGTTTAAACCAAGAGTTCGAATCTGTTTCTCTTTTTTTTAACTTAAATTCTTTATTGTTTAAAGTATTACATGAGTCTCCTTTTCCCCCATTGATTTCTTCCCGGATGCCCTCACCCTCCCCTCATCTGTGTCCATTGGTTATGCTCATGTGCACACATACAAGTCCTTTGGTTGATCTCTTATCCCCTCACCCCCGCCTCCCCACATAGGTTGGACAGTCTGTTTGATGCTTCTATGTCTGTGATTCTATGTTTGTTCATCAGTTTATGTTGTTCATTATATTCCACAAATGAGTGAGATCATGTGATATTTATCTTTCTCTGACTGGCTTATTTCATCTGTTTCTCTTTTAAATTAAAGTTGTACATTTACTGCATGTCTTACCTCTCACCTTTTTTTAGGAGTTTTCTCTTGTAATGGGATGTCTTCTTTCTGGAGATTCTTCAATTTGGGTTTTGGTTTTTCTAGTTTTAACTCGTTTGGTGTTCTGGATTTCTTATTTAAAGGTCCAGTTGCAGAAACAAAATCATCATCATCTACTATGTGTGAATTAAAAATAAAATATATAAAATTACTTTTTCTAAGTAAGAAATAAATAAAATTTTCTTAGCAGTTGAAATTCATTATAGTGTGTGTTCAAATTATAAGGTTAAGCAAATTATTATTTTTTTCATATATTTTATTGATTTTTTTACAGAGAGGAAGGGAGAGAAATAGAGAGTTAGAAATATCGATGAGAGAGAAACATCGATCAGCTGCCTCCTGCACATCTCCTACTGGGGATGTGCCCGCAACCCAGGTATATGCCCTTGACCAGAATCGAATCCGGGACCTTCAGTCCGCAGGCCGATGCTCTATCCACTGAGCCAAACCAGTTTCGGCATTAAGCAAATTATTTAATTTCTACAATTTAAAATATACTGTTGGCATATTATTTGTCTTTATTCTCACTCATGTTTAATTTTGTTTTAGTGAACTTTATCAATTTATCAAAAATGTCAATCTATCAAAAACCAATTCACTAAAAAGCTGGTATATCTCTGTTGCACTCAACATAAAACTGCAGCTATAGCTTTTAAACTTACACATGACGCATGCATACTTTCAGGGTACATGTAGTCTTAATACTATACCTTAGTATTTATTAATATATGCTATATGTATTATGCTTCCTCATGCAGGAATATAATAACTTGTGACTTGCCCCCACACCTATCCCATAATGTCTGGAACACAACCAGCAATTTATAAATATTTGGTGTGAGATAGATGAGAGTGATAAATTATCTACAAATTATCTATATACTAGCTGGCTGGCCGGATGGGGGCCAAATTGGGGCAGGGTTGGCTGAGGGGAGGGGCCATGGAAGGTTGCAGGGGGACTGATCAGGACCCCCATCAGGCCGGTTGGCTGCCACAGTGTGCATCATAGTGACTGGTTGTTCCACCATTCTGGTCACTTGGCTTTTATATTATAGATATAAAAGGCTAATATGCAAAGTATCCCCTAGGAAGTTCAACTGGGAGACTGATCGCTCACCATGATGTGTGCTGACTACCAGAGGGTGGTGCAGAATGAAGGAAGGACTTGGCCAGCAGCCAGCAGCTGGGGAAGGGAGGCCCCGGCCAGCAGCTGAAAGGTCCCAATCAGCCCTGATCACCGGCCAGGCCCAGGGGCCCTACCCATGCACAAATTTCATACACCGGCCTCTAGTATTATTCTGTATTATTTTCTCCTAAGTCTTAGACCTATTTAAGGTTATGCCCAAGACAAAAAAAACCAAACCCCAAAACACAGATTCCTTCAAACCTCAGAGTTACTAAGTATTTGGTTCACAAAAACCTCTTATGGTCTGAGAAATACAAAACCTGCTTCAAAGTATAATGTAGTCTAACCCCATATTTATCAAACACTTTTTATTAACTAAATTTATTGGGATGACACTGGTTCACAAAATCATACAGGTTTTAAATGGATAGCTCAATAAAACATCACCTGCACACTGCATCGTGTGCCCATCGCCCTAAGCAGTTTCTTCATGCCCCCATTTCCCCCAACTTTACCCACTTCCACCTAGCCCCCACCTCTTTTCCCCTCTGGCTATCACCACATTGTTCACTGTTGTCTGTGTCTGTGTTTTGACTAAAATTTCCTTAATAGGAGAGATAAATAAATAGGGTATAGCTTAAGCCTAACCTTTCTTCAAGGTCTTGTTTTATTGTACAATCAACGGGAATTTCCCATCACATTCTGTAACACACTTGTGTCAAAAAAAAAATGCAGTGTCTCAAAAAAAAAAGCAGTCTCTCCTCCAAAGTGAAGAGTCAAACCTCACTTTGAGAAACAGGCACTTGCAGCAGTTTTGACCTAAAGAACTACTTTACCTGGCCCTCTCATTTAGAAAATTATGCTTAGAAAATTACTTTTCCAGACCTAGCTTATATATAATATATATATATACACACATTTATACATTTATGAGGAAATAAATTTCCAAAACTTTAAACAAAATAAGAATCTCTACGTACCATCACTTTCGGAGTTCTCAAACTGTGAGTAATTGACTGGCTTCTTATTCCTATAACCAACACAGAAATTTTTCATTTACACAAATGTGAAAAAAATAATTTCCTTCCTCTAGGCATTTAATGAAATGGTCCTCTGCCAAATTCCCAAGTGTGAATGACCTAGTATGTCAGTTGCTCTTTCAAGTAAAAATAGTTTTCTATTGAAAAAGAGACTAGTTCAGCTTACAACTCAATCTGACAAGTGGTTTTCCTTAAGACAATTGTACAAGTATTCTATGCGTACTTCTAATTTCCTCATACAGAATATTAAAATGAGGAGTATTCTTGTTAATCTCCTACTCTTTAGAATTAAAGAATTTGAGAGCTGAATATAGAAATTCTGAGATTGAATAATCCTATCTAATAAAAGAGAAACATGGTAATTAGTGTACGACCTCTACCCTTCCCATTGGCTAATCAGGGAGATATGCAAATTAACTGCCAGCCAAGATGGCGGCGGGCAGCCAGGCAGCTTGAAACTAACAGGAGGCTTGCTTGCTTCAGTGACGGAGGACTCCAACGTTCCCCGCCTGCCACTGCAGGCCTCAGAGCTGCAACTCTAAGCAACTATGTTACAAATATAGAAGCTAAACAAAACCCCAGAAACCTGCTTTAGTCCGCTGGGCTTCAGCCAGCAGGATCGCAACATTGTTTCAAATACAGAAGGTAAACAAAGGCCAGAATCCTGCTTTCAGCAACAGAGGCCTAAGAGCTGGAGCCAAGCCTCAGAGCTAAAGCTGGCCCAGAATAAAAAAGAAAAAGAAAAAAAGGAGCGGTTGGGAGCTTCAGTCACCCCCAGCCTGAAAACAACCCTCAGCCCCTCACCCAGACTGGCCAGGCACCCCAGTGGGAACCCCCACCTGATCCAGGACACCCTTCAGGGCAAACCAACCGGCACCCACCGTGCACCAGGACTCTATCCTATATAGTAAAAGGGTAATATGCCTCCCAGCACTGGGATCAGCGGAGCCGCGAGGCCTCCCGGCACCAGGATCAGTGTGACAGGGGGCAGCACCCAAACCCCTTGATCGCCCTGCGGCTCTTTGTGTGACAGGGGGGCGGGGCCACAACCTCCCTATCTGCCCTGCTCTGTTCGTGCCAGGGGAAGTCGCCCCAAACCCCTGATCGGCCCTGCTCTGTGCCTGATAGGGGAGAGCTCCCCAACCCCCTGATTGCCCTGCGGCTCTGTGTGTGACGAGGTGTGGTGCCCCAAACCCCTGATCAGCCCTGCTCTGTGTGTGACGGGGTAGAGCCATAACCTCCCCATCGGCCCTGCCCTGAGTGTTACAGTGGCGGCGCCCCAACCCCCTGATCGGCCCTGCACTGTGTGTGACGGGGGCGGTGCCCCAACTCCCCAATCGGCCCTGCTCTGAGCCCGACCCGGGGCTGCATCTAGGGATTGGGCCTGCCCTCTGCCAGCAGGACGTTATCTCCCGAGGGGTCCCAGACTGCAAGAGGGCACAGGCTGGGCTGAGGGACGCCCCCTCCTCCCGGAGCGCACAAATTTTTGTCCACCGGGCCTCTAGTCCTATATTATAAAACCCTAATACGCAAATCAACCGTATGGTGGAATGAGTGGTCGCTATGAACTGACCACCAGGGGGCAGACGCTCAAAGTAGGAGCTGTGCCCTGGTGGTCAGTGTGCTCCCACAGGGGGAGGGCTGCTCAGCTAGAAGCCAGGCTCACAGCTGGCGAGTGCAGTGGTGGTGGCGGGAGCCTCCGCGGCAGCACTAAGGAGCAGCGAGCCGAGTGGTAGGGAGTAGCAAGCAGGCGGGCAGTAAGGAGTAAGAGATCCCTGACTGTGAGAGGGCGCAGGTCGGGCTGAGGGAGCCTCCTGACCCCCAGTGCACAAATTTTGTGCACCAGGCATCTAATAGTAATAAAATCAACACTTTAAAAAAAATATGCTCAGCCTGACTGGCGTGGCTTAGTGGTTCGGCTTAGACCTATGAACCAGGAGGTTGTAGTTAGATTCCCAGTCAGGGCATATGCCCAGGTTGTGGGCTCGATCCCCAGTGTGGGGTGTGTAGGAGACAGCTGATCAATGATTCTTTTTTATCATTGATGTTTCTATCTTTCTCCCTCTCCCTTCCTCTCTGAGATCAATAAAACAATTTTTTTAAAAGTATGCTCAATGGTTTATATATAAAAGCCTAAGCAACTGGTTGACGGTTCAACCATTCACCCAGTTGCTATGATGCACACTGACCACTAGGGGGCAGACATTCAACACAGGAGCTGCCCCCTGGTGGTCAGTACGCTCCCACAGTGGGAGCGCCACTACACTGGCGAGCACCATTGCAGTGGTGTGAGCCTCTCTGGATAGGGACTGACTGTGTAGCAGTAAGGAATACAATGACTACTCCCACAGTTTGGTGCCATTGCCTTGATTTGTGTGTGCTAAGGCACCAGCCCTTTGACCACCATTGCAGTGCAAATGACAGAGCAATTAAAAACAGCAAGTAATGGCTTAGTGTTATAATTAAAATAGTTTTAACCTCATGGAGCTCCTGGGAACATACCAGGGACCTGAAGGTGTCCGCAAATCTTTGTTACTTGGATGTTAAACTTAACATGTTGAAAACAGTACTCTTTCTAAAAATATATATATTTCTATAGATTTCAGAGAGGAAGGGGGTGAGATAGAAACATCAATGAGAGAGAATCATCAATCGGATGCCTCCTGCATGCCCCACACTGGAGATCCAGCTCACAATCTGGGCATAAACACCAACTGGGAATCGAATCGTGACCTCCTGGTTCATAGGTCAATGCCCAAGCACCTGGCCACGCTGGCCCAGCCAAAACAGAACCCCTGAGCCCCACACTTCCTGACCCTGTTCCTTTTCTTAGTCTTCCCTACCTCAGTAGCACAAAGATATTCAGAAGTTCAGACCAAAAATATTGTAAAGTCATCCATGATTCTTTTCCCCTTACCTCCCTAATCAACTTCCTCAGCAAGTTTTGGCATCAGTACCTCCAGAATACATCCCAAATGCATCTGTCCCAGTCCCTGTCCACGGATAATAACACCCTATGGTCGGCGAACTCATCAGTCAACAGAGCCAAATGTCAACAGTACAACGATTGAAATTTGTTTTGAGAGCCAAATTTTTTAAACTTAATCTATATAGGTAGGTACATTGTTATTAACTTAATTAGGGTACTCCTAAGGCTTAGGAAGAACCACACTCAAGGGGCCAAAGAGCCGCATGTGGCTCGCGAGCCGCAGTATGCCAACCACGAGAAACCAGTATTCAATGCTACGCTAGCCTCCTAACTGGTTCTCCCGCTCCCCTTCCTGTTACCCGGTCTCCCATTCATTCTCCACCACCCAACAATATAGAGCCAACATTAGATTTCTCTCCTCTCCTTAAAACTGTTGGCTTCCCACTGCACGGAAAATACAGTCCACACTCCTTTCGAAAGCCTACGGGGCCTGCCTGCTCTGGTCCCTGCCTTGTTCTCTGACCGAACCCCGACTGTTCTCCCCACTGCTGGGGATGCTAGCACTTTCGTGGCCTTCCTTCTGTCCCTCACACCGGCCAAGCTCAGGGCCTGGCGCTGCTCCCTGGCTTGCCCCGGATTTTCACCGGCTACATCCTTTTTGCATCCAGGCTCAGTTCTTGCAACATCTCTTCGGGGAGGCACTTTAGGCTTTCCTCCTCACTCTTTCTCACCTGTCCCTGTTGATTTCTGGCCCCCTCACCTTGCCCCTTGACGAGAATGCAACCTCCTGCACCCAGTACAGTAATGCATAGAAGTAAATATATTCCGTAGCTTTACTTAATGAATGGCTGGCCCTGGCCCTCACCTGGTAAGGAGAGGAATCGTTTCAAATACTATACAAGGGAAAGCACAGAGGATCTGGAGCCGGGTGCGTGAGGTGTGAGGATTATCCTGCCGCTCTCTAGCTTTGTGACTTGGGTTCATTGGCTTTTGCACCTAGTTTAAACCGATGAAACAGGGATACCAAAAAACGGCAGTGAAGAACAAATGAAATAAGCAGGAGCTCGGTGAGATGCAAGGCGCTGATCCGATGCTACCACAACAAGGTCTTTCTTGAATGGGGTGGGTAAAAGAAAGGGCAGCAGCTACGCGGGAGGCAAGGAGACGGAAACTCAGGGAGGCTGGGGAGTTTTCCAGTAACTGTCAATCCCACCCACCGTCGCTACCTCCGTTCTACTGGGCCCTTGGGTCTACAGCGTCTTCCTGCTCTTTCTCCCCATCCCCGCCGGACTTCCCGAACCCTCACCTCACAGGCCGCACCATGGCTCCCTTCCAGGCTGGATACTTGCAGCTATCAAGTGCTTGCCGGCAGCAGAAGCGGTTTCAATTCCCGCCCAAATCCGGACCCGAGCTCCCCGCCCCCCGCCACCAGTCCTCCAATGACCGCCGGCCATCCTTGCTCAAGCGCAGGCGTCCTGAGCGGAATGCTCACCCCTTCTCCAGCCGGGGCCCTTCCGCTTCCGGTCCACCGGAGCCGAGTTGGTGCTGGGGTTCTATGCTTTCGCCAGGACGGTGGCTTTTGCGCGGAATCTGACATACACAATAGCGGTAGAAATACACCTTCTCACAGTTTTTGAATGACTACACTGGTGCACGGTGGAACACGGGGGCACTTAGATCGGGGACTTTTCTACGGGGTGCCAGGTAAGGGAAAGGTGCGCGCGAATCGGCTGAAGCGGATTGGCTGGCTGTAAATACCAGTCGGTGGGTCCGCTGACGTTCCCCGTGCCGCGGCTTCTTGACAGGCCCCGGAGTGCGGACCCTTCGGACTTAGGAACGTGGGGAGCTGAGTCCAGAGGTGAGAGCAGGGATCCCCCTTCAGAATGAAACCCCCTAATAGAGCGGCTGTGCCCCCTCGGACGGCCGGAGCTGCGCGGCCCCGCATCCTGCCTTCAGAATCTCCGCTGTGGACGGCGTGAGTTCGGTCCTGCCCTCCTCTCCCATCCCATGTTTGCACGGGAATCTTTTTCTTATTTCACCCCTGAGTTATTTTTTTTTTAAAAAAAGAAAAAGTGGGGAGAGGGCACTAAATAATCATCCGTCGAAACAAGTCTAAATGTTGAACCGATTGAAACTAAAGCTAATGGTTATTATTGACTAAAAATATTTAGCCAAGGAAAGAAGAGCAGTACGAGTGTTCTAGGTAAAGGAAAAGCATTCAGAAAGGTTGGGAAGAGCATTCAGCAAATTTTTGTCTTTGGGAAGCAGGTGCTGGGGAGGAAGCAGAGGCACTGTAAACTGGGTTAAGGAGTTTGAGTTTTATCCCAAGGCCAATGGAATGTTATAAAAGTGTTCTAAGCAGGTGACAGCACGGTATCTACTTGTTGGAAAGGTTACTGTGGTTTGTGCCATATTCTGTTTTGTCCCAGAATAGTGTCAGAACTGATGTGGTGAGGAAAAGCCTACAGACTGTACGTCTAGGAAGGAGGCTGACAAACCTTTACAGGATGTTGATTCTTACTCTGTTTTACTAGATTTTCTTTTTTTTGAACAGCATCCAGTTTGCCTGTGGGATATTTTATACTTTCTATTTTGTGTATCTTCTTCCCACATGAAAATCTTTCCAAAACCCATCTCCCTTCCCTCTACCTCCAATCTGATCGCATACAACATCTAAGATCTCCAAGATCACTTCTTGGTCCCTGATCTGTTTCTTTGATTTTTTAAAAAATATTTTTTTATTGATTTCAGAGAGGAAGGGAGAGGGAGATTTAGAAACATCGATGATGAGAGAGAATCATTGGTTGGTTGCCTCCTGCACGCCCACAGGGAGGATGGGGCCGGCAACCTGGGCATGTGCCTTGACCAGGAACCTAACTGTGACCTCCTGGTTCATAGGTCTACGCTCCCCCACTGAACCAACCCGGCGGTGCTGTTTCTTTGATTTTGTATTCACCAACTGGTCCATCAATTCTATTATCCCAGCTATGCATCCCTTCCTCAGACTCCTCTCTGCTCTTTTCTCCCTGTTGTTGTTTTTTTGTTTTTGTTTTTTTTTGTTGTTGTTGTTCTTGAGAATCCTGCCTAGGAATGCAAAGTTCTCTATGGGCATATTTTTCCTCAAATAAAGCTTAAAAGAAACTGTCCTCATTTTTAAAAGGTGCACTTTATTTTCACCACAAAGATGAAAACACAAGGATAAAAGTAGGAAAAACAAGAATAATTGCCTTCGAGTCACACAAATAAAATCTCTGAGAATTGGAACATTTTCTTAGAAGTGGTAGCGCGACAATGTGGTATAGCATGTTTTTATGAACTTACAACGTGCTGCTTTTTTGTTAGTTCTTCAGATATCCTGCCAAAGAAGATGAAGAAAAACAGAGAAAGATTCTGCAGCAGAGAGAGGGAATTTGTGTATAAATTCAAAATAGGAAGTCAGTGCTTAGAACTGAGGGTGCCCCTCAAATTTCCTGTTCAAGAGAATGTCAGTTACTTACATGGGCGCCTGATGCTGCTGCACAGCTTGCCATGCTTTATAGAAAAAGGTGAGGACTGATTTTTTTAATACTATTTTATTGTTTATCTAGAGTTTCTGACATTAAAAGTTTCATATTAGAAAGCATACAACTAAGAAACATTGGAAAGAACCATAAAATATAAAGTGGTTAACTGCTTTTAAGAATAAAAAGTTTCCCCAGACCTTTGTTTTATTTAGTGCTTTTTCCTATAACTTGTAGTTGTTGATAAGGCAGGTTAGTATAAAAATTAAATTATATAATGAAAAATTAGTTACAAAGTCTGGAATAGAACTTTTAACCTCTTAGTTGGATGAATTCATAAGGCACTTCAGCTGTCAGTTATTGTAGAATTATATTGCTAAATGCATTGCCCCTTTAATGATCTGGTTCTCAGTTCCTGAGATGTCATGGAAGAGAAGGAATATAAATCGTTGAATAATTTTTGCTTACCTAAATTAATTCCATGAAGTCATCAGTATTAAACCATTTTAAAAGCCTGTGTTCTACCTCACAGATGAAGAAAAAAATTTAATTGAGAATGTGTTGGATCATAGAAAGTTAGAGTTAGGGAACCTGAAAACTTTCTAGCACTATTTCATTGTACAGGAAAGGAAATCTGCAAATAAAAAGGTTAAAATATTTGCCTACGGCAGTGGTTCTCAAAAGTTGTTCCCTGATCAGGAGCAGTAGCATCACCTGGAAACTTGTTAGAATTGCATATTCTTGAGCCCCACCCCATTCTTGCTGAATCAGAAACTCTGGGGGTAGCATGCAGCAAGCTACTTCAGTAAGCCCTCTCGGGCATTCTAATAATGCATGCCACTGGTCTAATGTAACGTATTGTCTCTAAAATTGGATTTATACAGCATCTGATCTACATCAGTTTTAATACACTAATTATTTAATTTCTTCAAATTCAAAGAATGTAACAGTGCATATATAGGAAACTTTTTCATTTAAGTACAGTAACCTTCAAACCCTTGAAATCTGTAGAAATTTTTCTGTATGTGATTTTACCAACTCAGTTTCAAACTGAAGCATCAGGCTTAAGAAATTAACATTTCAAATTAATATCAAGGTTATACATGAGTCAAGAACTTTGACCATTGTCCATGCAGTAACCTGTAATAGTAAAGAAAAATGGTTGTGCAAAGACCTTGTATGTATATATGCATAATCCAGGGACACAGACAGTGGGGTGGTGAGGGCCTGGGGGCAGAGGGAGCGGGGGGGAGTTTCGGGGGATCAGTGGGGGGAAAAAGGGGACATATGTAATCTATATTATAAAAGGCCCATGGCCGTAATGCTGTAACGCCATAACGACCACCAGGAGGTGCATTGAGCACCTCTCAGTCCCTCCCCGCTCCCCTTGCCCATGAGCAGCGGTTCTCTTGACCGGTGGGGTGGGGGGGGCAGGGTACGGTGGCGTGAGCTACTAGCAGCGTGTACCCTAGGCCTCTAGTACTTTCAATAATAAAGATATTTTTTAAAAAGAAAAATGGTTGTGAAGTAGATAAATGATCCCCTAAGTTGATTTTATTTTATTTAGACATTGTACTTGATAAAATAAAATTTGACATTGGAATGCTTAGGTAAAATGTTTCCTGTTTTTGTCTGGATTTTGCTGATGATAGCATTTCTTGACCCTGATATAGACTTAAAAGAAGCTCTGAGCCAGTTTATAGAAGGAGAATCCCTCAGAGATTATGATAGAGAGGCTGAAGCATCACTGGAAGCTGTGAAATCAGGTGAAGTAGATTTACATCATCTGGCAAGTACATGGGCCAAAGCTTACGCAGAGGTAAGAAAATAGATCAGATTGTAAATTTCAAGGATATTCTGGACTTGGATGATTTTTAAATTACTAAGATAATACTGAAACAGGTGTAGAATCCTTTTTTCTCTAATTACAAAAATTTATTCCATAACATATAATATCTATATATTTAAAAGGCTAATATGCTAAGTGTCCAACTGTTTGACCGGTCACTATAACACGCACTGACCACCAGGGGAAGACGCTCAATGCAGGCGCTGCCATGATGCGCACTAGCCAGTTACAGAGAAACAGCTCTGCGGACCTGGCGCCCACAAAGCAACACCTGTCTTCCCCAAAGTGGGACAAGGGCCCTGCCACCACCCTGGAGCAACAGCTCACCAAATAGCAGCCAACACTGCCGAGACCCCCATGGCGATAAATGCAGCCCACAGCCCAGCCCAGCCCAGAAACAGTCACTGCAGGCGCCTAGTAATGACGTCACATAGCAGCGCCTGGTTTCCTCTCCCTAGTGAGAACTAGCCTCCTTGCAGTTTCTTCAGCCCAGGGACACCACTTGCTTTATAGTTAGGTGCAAACATTTCACACTTTCACCAAATGTCTGTGAAGCATTTTCGCATGCCTCATCTCATTTGATCCTTGCAGAAGTCCTGGGGTAGGTAAATAGGAGACTCATTGGAACCCCCGTTTTCTTTTCATTAGCCAGAAAACAGAGATTTAGAAAGTTTAGGAACTTGACCTGACTGAATATAAGTAAGAAATGGTGGACCTTGAAAATGACTTCAGGTTTTCTCACTGCGCAGAATATAGTCAAATACTGCTGCAGTTAAATATTTTACCCTTTGTTCTCCCTGCATAATCTATATGTGTAAAAGACTAAATGTCCATTTGTCCAACCAGTCGCTATGATGTGCACTGACCACCAGGGGGCAGACACTCAATGCAGGAGCTGCCCCCTAGTGGTCAGTGCACTCCCACAGAGGGAGCGCCATTCAGTCAGAAGCCAGGCTCACAGCTGGCAGGCGCAGCAGCAGTGGCAGGAGCCTCTCCTGCCTCCACAGCAGTGCTAAAGAGCAGTGAGGAGGCAGGCAGTAAGGAGTGAGGGTCTCCTGAACTGCAAGAGTGATGTCCACTGAGGGGTCCTGGACAGCGAGAGGGCACAGGCCAGGCTGCGGGACCCTCTTCCCCCGCCCAGTGCACAAATTTTGTACACCGGGCCTCTAGTCTACAATAATAATCTGCTTCATGTTGATATTTACTGCTGTGTTGCTGACAATTACCTGAAAGAGAAGTTGGGGTGCTTCACTGGGCTGGAAAAAGTTTAGCTAAATCAGAAAGAAGATCTAAGTAAGAAAGTTTATTCTATATATATAAAAGGCTATGTTGACTCGCGCATGTGTGATACTTATAAAGCTCTCACTGGCACCAGTCGCATGCGTGTGTTTCAATCTGTCATTGTCAATCGTGAATTTGGTTGATACTTCTATTATAGAGAAAGGGCGAATAGTGATATTAAAATATTTCTTCTAATTACTTTCAGTGTTCACGAATCCGTGCACCGGGCCACTAGTATTTTATAAAAGGAGGCGTGGGAGCAAGAGGCGGGTTCAGGTTTCTTAAGAGGAAACGAAGTTGCCACTGCCATCTCCCCACCCCCCGCCCCCATGTATTTGGGTGTCTGGTAACTTACAGAGCGGGACCCTCTTCCCCCGCCCAGTGCACAAATTTTGTACACCGGGCCTCTAGTCTACAATAATAATCTGCTTCATGTTGATATTTACTGCTGGGTTGCTGACAATTACCGGAAAGAGAAGTTGGGGTGCTTCACTGGGCTGGAAAAAGTTTAGCTAAATCAGAAAGAAGATCTAAGTAAGAAAGTTTATTCTATATATATAAAAGGCTATGTTGACTCGCGCATGTGTGATACTTATAAAGCTCTCGCTGGCACCAGTCGCATGCGTGTGTTTCAATCTGTCATTGTCGATCGTGAATTTGGTTGACACTTGTATTATAGAGAAAGGGCGAATAGCTATATTAAAATATTTCTTCTAATTAATTTCCTTTCAATGTGCACAAATCTGTGCCCCAGGCCACTAGCATATTAATACTTGACTGTTTCCTTTCTATATGAAGGTAAGTACCTAAGACTCAATACTTTATGTAATGCGTTTATAAAATGAAAAACTACTTTGTATCTCTAACCAACGTAGTGTTGCCAGAATTAGTAATTAATAATACAGGACACTAGTTAAAGTAGAATTTCAGATAAACAGTTAATAATTTTAGTATTACTATATCCCACATATTCTGTGGAACATATTTATAGTAACAAATTATTTGATGTTTATCTGAAATTCTAATTTGATTGGATGACCTGTATTTTATCTGTCAACCTTAAACTAGCAGTAGTAACTTATTTTCATCTGGTTTACTTTTGTCCTTTTACTTACCTTCTAACTGTTTTTAGATAGTTATATAACGTCATCATTTTTCCATTTAAATATATCTTATTTCATAAAGTCTAACATGCCATTGATCATAATACATACCATTATTTTATTTACTACTAAGAACATTTCTATTTTTAAACTATGATAGAATGCCACGATGCCATAAAATATATACTGATTTTTGAGAGTTGTATAATAAAAAATTATGGATCTTAGAATTGATGGAATACAGTATATTCAGAATCTCTTATATGCAAGGTACTCTACTAGGTGTTGGGTGTAAAATAGTGAGACAGACACAAGTGAAATTTACATTTTAATTAGAGAGCCAGATACAGGAATATGTAAACAAACAAATTTAATAATTGCAAGCTATAATGAATGAATTGCAAGGTATAATAACACTCTATACTTATTAACTTACATTCCTCTTTAAGTAGCTCAGTCTATGAGACTTTGAAAGAGATCAATTTTATGGGGTCATATTTGTTATTCTAAGCAGATTGCTCTGTGCCCAGTAAGGTTTCCTAAAAAAGATGACACTATGCTCATATATTATTTTAAATACTAAAAACATAATTATTTTATTAAAAAAATCTGTGACAATTACAATTTAAAGAATCATAATCTTTCTGCTGATTAAAAGAAAATAAAGCTGTAAGATGTATTAAAAGAATAATTTCACTTAATTTATTCAACCGATATTTTTATACCTCTAAAATGGGTTGGATGTAGAGCTGAGGATAAGTCTTTGCCTTCAGGAAGCATACAATCTAGTAGGAAGATACAAAGAAATCCACAGACTGTTGTAACACTGTGCAGTCAGTGGGATCAGTGTGGGAACATGTAGAGAAGTTGGGGGAAGAAGGAGTGTTCAAGAAAGAATGACTGAAGAAAGCAGTTTCTCCTCTAGGAGTGTTCTTATTTTGATATAAAATCTGGAAGCAAAACCTCTCCTCTCCCTGATTTTATGTCCTGAATACTAGGACAATAAATGCTTATTTACTTATCATTTTTTAAAAAATATATACTTTTTATTGATTCAGAGAGGAAGTGAGCGGGAGAGAGAGAGAGAGATAGAAACATCAGTGATGAGAGAGAATCACAACCAAAGAGAGAACTTCCTGAATACTAAGACAATAAATGCTTATTTACTTATCATTTTTTAAAAAATATATACTTTTTATTGATTCAGAGAGGAAGTGAGCGGGAGAGAGAGAGAGAGATAGAAACATCAGTGATGAGAGAGAATCACTGACCAGCTGCCTCCTGAGCCCGCAGCCTGGGCATGTGCCCTTGACTGAAACTGAACCTGGGACCCTTCAGTCATCAAGAAGTTAGAACTGAATTTGATATACCATGCTTAAGAAAGCAGGGAAATGTGTACTACATTTAAAAAAGATTATCATCAAAATTTGGTTAAGGTAAGTTTCATGAAATATCTAGGAAATCCGTTTACAGAAAACGGAGCTCATACCCTCATCACTCTAGATGACGGTATTCCTATAAACATTCTGTTAACTTCTTTTTTAATGCTCCTACTATTTGTCTCAGTGTTAGTGAAAGTCTGTTTACTCATATGTTGCAGAGATGCTTCAGCACTCCTCTGTCTCTTCAGTGCAGGCTGACACTCCATCCACTGAGCCACACCAGCTTGGGCTTTTATCTTATTATAAAAAATAATTACCATATTTATAAAATTTATAGTTTTACTTAATTTTTGTGTGCTTTAGCCATTCTAAAAATAGGAATTTGACCATCTTTCAGATTAATGATCCTAATAATATTAACAATAATAGTAACACCAATGTACAGAATAATAACAGTTTTTACTGATTAACTTATTTAATCACAAGAGTACAGATTAACAGTGAATTAAAATCATCAGTATCAATTGAAGCAAGTACTCTGTTCTACCCTATGTAAAATTAGTAGATACATAGCACTTTTTGTTTTTTTGGAGTTCAGATTTCTAGCAATGCCAGGATTTTAGATTGCAAAAGGGCTGGCAGAGATTAGAAGATGCAGCATTGTGGAGATTAGAAGAATCAAATTATGATTAACAGCAGACTCTGATGGTGCAGGCAGGACAGAGTAGTAGAAGAGACAGAGGAGTGCTAAAGCATCTTTGCATCATATGAGTAAACAGTCTTTCAGTAACACTGAGACAAATAATAGGAGCATCAATAAAGAAGTAAGTTAACAGAATGTTTATAGGAATACCAGTCACCTAGGGTTATGAGGGAATGAGCTCCATTTTAGATATTTCAGATGTGGTGTACTTAAATCATGAAACGTACCTTAACCACCTTTTGATGAAAATACTTTTTAAATGTAGTACACATTTCCCTGCTTTCTTAAGCATGGTATATCAAATTCAGTTCTAACTTCTTGTTGACCCCAGGTCATCCTTATAAATGTACTAGAGGCCCCGTGCATGAAATTCATGCGGGGGTGGGGGAGAGTTCCCTCAGCCCAGCCTGCACCCTCTCCAATTGGGGACCCCTTGGGGGATGTCAGACTGCCAGTTTAGGCTTGTTCCCTCACTGGCAGTCAGACATCCCTCTCACAATTCGGGACCACTGGCTCCTAACTGCTCACTTGCCTGCCTGATCGCCCCTAACCACTTAGCCTACCAGCCTGATTGCCCCCAACTGCTGGCCTGATCTCTCCCAAAATGCCCCTCCTGCTGGCCGGATTGGGGCCAGGGTCGACCATGGGGAGGGGCTATGGTCGGTGGGCTGGCCAGCCACGCCCCCAAATGAGGTGGGGGGTGCCAATCAGGGGCCAGCGGCTTGGGGGAGGAGCCATGGGTGGTTGGCCAGCCAGCCAGCCCTGCCGCTGATCGGGGTGAGGGGGCTGATCTGGGGTGGGGCCCAGCAGGGGGAGGAGCTACATGAGATTGGCTGGCCGGCTCTGTCCCCTATTGGGGTGAGGGGGTGCAATCAAGGGCAGGCAGTTGCAGGGAAGGGCTGCGGGCCTATTATGGTGGGGCTTGGCCAGCCAGCCCACTTTTTTTTTTTTTTTTTTGACAACGTCACTACTTTTATTTGTGGTGCCTGTGCTATGTCTCAAAAATACCTTCTCCACCTGCCTGGGACAGCATTTGGGAGGGGGCAGCAAAAAATAGAAGACATCCCTCCCTATTGCACATGGACCCTATATACAGGCCCACCTGGCCCAGGCCAGTGGGATGCTTGGCACATTCTCAGACCCCAGCTCAGGGGCTAGAGGGGTGACTGGTGGCAGCACATGTGAAAGGGGACCTCTGGGTGGCCACTCTGATCCTGCCTGCAGCCCTGGTCCCCCTACCTGGCTCAGTCTCCCGTCTCCATCCTGGCCTCAGATGGCCCCCTTGGCTTCTGGGGGCTCTGTCCTCCCCTCCCCTGGAGGTCCCAAGGGGAGTTTATGGCTTCTCAGAGACTCCCCAGCAGCCCTGTCACTCGTGTTTACATAGGGGAAGGGGTGCATGTAGCAGAAGCAGCTGTATAAATGCGGGTGCAGGGGCAAGTCCTCTGGGGTCACTTGGACAGTTTGCTAATGATGTGGATTAGCACCACGTTCTCCTCCTTGAGGCGCTGGTTGTCAGCCCAGAAGTTGGACAGGCCCTTCAGCTCCTCTTCCAGCTCAGCAGCCTTGTGCTCCAGAGCCCTGGGTTCAGATCTCTCCAGCTCCAGGAGTGTCGGCCTCTCTGCAAAGTGCTCCTGCCTCTGCGTGCTGAAAGGTCCCAGGTACGATTCTGGTCTGATGTCGGCTGGCTTCACCTCCTCCCCTTTCGCAGGCCCTCTCCTCTCCTTGCCAACTCTACAGTGCTCCCTGGAGGCCTGTGGTCCCTGTCCCTGACCGTCAGGCACCTCTACTCTCTGGGCCGGGCCATCAGAATTCTCAACCCCACGGACTCGGAGCTGCCAGGCAGGGTCCAGACTCTGTGCACCTTGCTCTTGATCAGGATGGGAGAGTAATATAAGGGGCAGGCTGGCAGCGGGGAGGGGCTGCGAGGTTGGCTGATGGCCCCACCCCCTGATCAGGCTGGTTTGCTGGCTGCAGTGGATGTCATAGTGACCGGCCCAATCAGGGCCATCAGAATTCTCAACCCCACGGACTCGGGGCTGCCAGGAAAGGTCCAGGTTCTGTACGCCCTGCTCTTCATCAGGATGGGAGAGTCCTATCAGGGGCAGGCCGGCAGTGGGGAGGGGCTGCAAGGCTGGCCGAAGGTCCCAACCCCTGATCGGCTGGTTTGCTGGCTACACTGGGTGTCATAGGGACCGGCTCAATCAGGGCCATCTTCTGCTGGTTTGTGTCTCCGCTGGCTCCGGCCCCAGCAGCCCAGCGCCACTGCCACGAGGACTGGGGCTGAGGTCCAGACCCCCTGAGGGCTTGTCTCCCCACTGGCTCTGGCCCCAGCAGCCCAGCGCTGGCTGGGGGAAGGGGATGCAGAAGGTTGGCAGGCCGACCCCACCCCCTGGTCAAACTCCGTCAAATTCCCAATCGAGGGGACAATTTGCATATTACCCTTTTATTATCCTATACTAGGGGCCCGGTGCACCAAATTCATGCACGGGGCGGGGGGGGGCGTGTCGCTCAGCCTGACCTGTACCCTCTCGCAATCCAGGACCGCTGGCTCCTAACCACTTTGCCTGCCTGCCTCATCACTCCTAACCTCTCACCTGCCTGCCTCGTCGCCCCTAACCCCCTCTGCCTTGGCCCCTGCTGCCACAGGTTGGTCTGGAAAAGTCGTTCGGCTGTCCAGTCTAATTAGCATATTATGCTTTTATTATATATAATAAAAGGGTAATATGCAAATTGACCCTAATGGTGGAATAACCAGTCACTATGATGCACAGTGACCATCAGGGGGCAGACGCTCAACGCAGGAGCTGCTTCCTGGTGGTCAGTATGCTTCCATAGGGGGAGCACCGTTGAGCCCGAAGCCAGCTCATGGCTGGCCAGCGCAGTGTTGGTGGCAGGAGCCTCTCCCACCTCTGTGGCAGCACTAATGGCTTAGGCGCACTCCCTTAGACATCCCCTGAGAGCTCCCAGGCTGCAGAGGGATGTCTAACTGCCAGCTTAGGCCTGCTCCCCAGGGGATCAAGCCTAAGCCATCAGTTGGACATTCCCCGAGGGCTCCCAGACTGTGAAAGGGTTCAGACCGGGCTGAGGGATCCCCTCTATCCGTCCCCCCCCTGAGTGCACGAATGTTGTGCACCAGGCCTCTAGTACATCTATACTACCGTATTTGCCGGCATATAAGACGATT